TTTTTTTTCGTTTTATGTTTGTTTGTCTCTGCGTGGCTAACACTGAGTGATTCTTCAGCATCCAAATTAGCATCATCCAAAAATGACCAACTGATCAATCGACCAGGCATATGGTCTATGGTGAAAAATCAAAGGAATTAAAATTTTCGAATAGAAAAAAATAAACATTCATTTTAATCGAAATGAAATAAAAAAATTTTTTTGGGAAATTTCTTGTCATTCAGATTGAGACGATGAAAACAGATGTCTAATGGTGTAATGTTTTTTTTCTGTTAGGTAATCTTTTCGATTGAAAATATATCTATCATCATCAAATGGATGCGGATGAAAAAAAAAGTTGAAAACTTTCTTTTCTTTTCTTTTTCGATTAATTCGACCATTGTCATTATCATCAGGTAATTTTGATAACAAAAGTTATGCTCTTTTTTTGGATTTCTGGAACAACAGCAGCAGCATAACATATGCCAAATAGAGAGGTAATGATTATCATTGCTTTCAATGGATGTTCAATGGAAATTTCAATTTTCGATATTTTTTTTTCAATTCAAAAATTATCATCAGAAAAAAAATGATCGATTATCGATTCGAAAATAAGGATTCTGCGCATGTCTGATCAATATGTGTGTGTGCTTGATACAAACCCGGACCCAACCATATCAGTAATCATAAGCATCATTTCATTCATTTCACATAAAACAACAACAGCAATCTTATCTTGAAAACAAACGACAATATTCTGAAATGATGATGATGATATATTAGAAAGGCCAAAATGGACAACGACAAACGACGACGACCAATTATCATCATCAAAGATCTTTGTTTTTGATGGTCAAAAACAAAGAAAACATTACATCCTCAAACAGACAGACAGAGAGACAGAGACAGCTACTGGTTGTGTAACAACCAAAACCAAAACATCTTGATTACATGAACGAAACAAGAAAAATGAAAAAATCTTACGAATGAAAGTTTCGGGTCACCTGTGTGTATGTCACACAAAGTTACCTTACCTTACCTTTCATTTTTTCTTCACTTTCTTCACTCACACAGAAGGAGAACATCATCATCATCATCAAAGGTCAGTCAAGAGTATAGATAAGATTTGCATATATTAGGTTGAAATAGTT